GTCCCACCAGCAGCCCCCCAGCATCCTTTCTCCTCCGGATGAGTTTGTGCAAAACGCAAGTTGTCTTGTTTCGGCTGGGAGAAGCGCAACTCGTTTGAGCTAGCAGAAACCAAGCCGTGTTTTCTCACTGCCTCGTGGCGAGGTGGCCTCTTCTCCTCCTTGCCCCCATCCTCAGCGCTGCCGGTGGCCCCGGTGGTGGCTTGGTGGCAACCGACGCTGGAGAGAAAGTGCCAGATTCTTGTGTTCAAGTCAAGCCAAAGAAATGTAAATACCCTACAGGCCAGTATGGGGAGGGAGAATTAAGCAATAACCAGCTGGAGATCTCCGGGCATGGGTGATGTACCGTGGAGGAAGGCACAGCCAGCGGCCGCTGGGGCAGAGCCTCCAGCCAGTTCTTCCAAAAACCACGTGCTGGAGGTCAGGCCAGGCCAGAGCGGCCCCAGCGAGGTGGCTGGGAGCTCTTGGAGCTGTTTGCAGCTTGGGTTTTGGTTTTTTTTTTCTTCTTCTTCTTTTTTATTGATTAAAAAAAAATCCCACCCAAGGAAAACCAAAAGCAAAGGAGAATGGGAAAGAATAGGCCATCTGTAAGGAAACTGCAATAATGCATCCCAAACTTGGAATCTATAGAGACTGCATATATAAATATATCGAGGTATGTATGTTTATATATGGCTGGATCTTACAGACCCATTCGCATTTTACTTCTGCTCTAAAATACCTTTCATACAAAGGCTCTGCCTCTCTTCTTTAATGAACCGCGTAAACCTATTTTTTTCTAAGCACTAAGGTGAGAAAATAGACTTTCCTCGTGAGGAGAATGTGTATGCAACTGCCTTGTAAGCGTGGCTCTTCCCGGTGCAGCCTCCCTTGTATTTTACCAAGGCTTTTCCTGTGTCTTTCAGTCTCTTTAGAGTGCAAATAGTTCTGCTAAAGGATGGTGGTGATGTGCTAGAAAAACCCGAGGTGGTGTCCTAGGGAAGCTAACCTGCCCAGGTGTGATATTTGCCATCGGTGCCGGAGGGCAAAGCGTTACAGCAGCCAATGGTCACAGCACAATGCCTTTGTAGTCGATATTTTTAATTAGAGTTTAGCGATCGACAGCCAAAGTTTTGCCATATTTTGATATACCGCCTTTTTTTAACTGGAAACTTTTCTTAAAAAAAAAAAAAAAATTATTATTTTATAAATAAGCACAATCTTATTTTTATAAGAAACGTTGGGGGAGGGAGGCAAGAAGGGGGAACTGGTACCAGAAGAAAAGGAGCGTAGCTATTGGCACGATGCAAAAAACCTGGGTGTTCTTGCGATAGGGGAGAGCACCGGGGGCTGCCGTGGCTCTGCACTGCGGGACCGCGACGCCAGCACAGCGCGTCCCCACCCCAGAGCCTGATCTCGCCCGGCACAAGGGATGTTACGGGAAAATAATGTGGCTAGCCAAATGCTGGCAGGGCGAGCAGGCTGGTGGCCCCCAAAGCCTCTTTACCTCCCCTAAAGCCTCTTTACCTCCCCTAAAGCCACCCGGGGCAGGCGGAGGGATGCTGAGCGGGG